TTTTGGAGATAAAAACATGGAGAGAGATACATAGATACATGCAACAACAAAAAAGTAAAGTTACCCATAATTGCACCATCCACGTATCACCACTCCCAACAGCTTAGTGTATATGCAGTTAAATCTTGGGTTAATTTATCCTGATTTTTTCATTCACATATTTGAAAAGAATAATTATAAAGTAACCATAAATGGTATTTTCAGTGAATATAGCAAGACAATTTCTAGACATTACCTGTGAAAAGTAGGTAGCTTAATCTCTTGGGACTTCAGATTCCTTAAGAAATATGGATACCATCTAATTTTAGGATTTATATTGAGGAATGGAGGTAATATATGTAAATCACCCAGCATCATACCTAACATAGGAGTACATACTCAATTTGTGATGGTTATTTACCATAATGGCTCTGAAATGTGGTTTTCTTGTGAACCCATCAGGGTTTTCCATAGTCCATAGCTGGCTAGCTAAGATTTGGGGGTGCAGGGGGAGTAGCTGGGTTTTCATGTTGTCTTAGATGTTGATTTCCATTTTTTCTACTTTCTCATACCTTACTTAGCCTAGCCTGTTGCCTTTAACTTGATTCTGACTCATAGCGACTTTACAAGACAGAGTAGAACTGCCCCATAGTTTCCAAGCCATCTTTACGGAGGCTGATTGCGACATCTTTCTCCTGAGGGGCGGCTAGTGGGTTCGAACTGCTGACCTCTTGGTAAGTAGCCCAGTACTTAACCACTGTGTCACTAGGGCTCCTTCTCCCATACTTACAGCTGGGTAAAAGTATAATATAAAGCAAAACTAAGAGGAGGTATAGTTGTTTCAGCAGCTCTGATTTACTTCAAGAATCATAAGCTAGAAAGAATGGTGATGATTCTGTTTTTTCCCCCACTCTATTTCAAGATTCGAAATGAAAGAACTGTTTGCTGGAGTCTATTAATATTAAAAAAGCCACTGCTTTTTTCATTTTATCATTAGATATTACATAAAAATACCTAATATAAAAAACATCTGAGCAACTTTCTTGGGCAGATTTTGAGATGTTTTGTTAAAATTTTTAAAATCTAGTTTTCTTCATCTATGAAGAAATGTATAGTTTGCTATCTTCCTATCTCATTATAATTTTTGACCCTATCTTTAAATAGAAAATTGAAAAATCAACCAGAAGTTTTGGTGGGTATATCCTTATGTGACTTGCTCTCACCCTTTTGCATTATCCACAGCTCAGATTTCACAGTTTTTCAGAAAAGCTTTATGGAAATTCAGAGAGAAAAGAAACTTTAATGAATTGGGCCTGAAGCATTTTTTAATTTCAGTAGTTACTTTTTTTAGCATTAAAATGATGGCTTTTCCCAAAGGCAATTTCGAGTAGATTAATCTTTTCACAAAATAATCCTGCTTTAAACCTCCTTTAGAATTTGCATTTCATTTCAATTTTCCTGATCCTATAACTGAATTCCATTGGAAACTAATCCCCAACAACAAATATTTTAACTGCTTAAACATACTCATATACAATTAGAGACATTAAATGGATGTTAATTAAGCTTTCACTTTATCTTATTCAAATATTCTAACAGGTTAATTACTAAGGGCCTTAGATTTCGTAAATCATGTTATAACCTTAAATTCATATTTCTTGAAAGAAATAAACACAGTTATTTGATACGCATAGTTTATTTTATACACCTATGAATTTCTATAGTATCAATACAGATGATCAGAAACAGTTCACATTGTGCCCACCTGCACTCCATGTCTAAAATGATTTATTCAGTGTGGTATTTTGCAAGGCTGGAAAGGAGAGAAAGTCAAGGTTCCACAGTATCAGTGAAAACTTTTATCTTGAAATAAATTTAATACGTTAGTATAGTCACCCATTTCCTATCAGAAAACAGCAAAATTACATTTTTAGGTGTATTATATACAGAGAAAACTTGGAAGACTTGCCAAAGCATCAGTTTATCAACAGATGTAGGAACCCCTCCCATCTTTTTGAGGTCCTTTGAAATGAAATAAACTTGTTATAAATCAAACTTTATATACCTTTAAGCACCAGTTTGACAATTTAAAGTTCTCTTTCAGGTTTGTAAAATATTCGTCCTTTGAAAGGCAAAGTGAATTCTAAAAATGTAAATGTAATTAAACAAATCTTGGCCTGGATGCTTTTTATTGCAGAAGTCCCAATGTTTTACTACTATGTTCACTTCTTTGAATGAATTTGTTTATAGGATTGAGACAAAATATTTGCCTTTTGTCTTGAAAAATTCCTATACAAAATTAATCATTTTTGGAACTGTACAACTGTATGTTCCACCTGTAATGTTAAATGTACAAGTTGGTCCTTGGAGGTCATGTTATAAAGTCCAGCTTCTTGGATAATTTGTTATTATACAAAACAATGAAAAACCTTAAAACTACCAAAAATATTACTGATGTTAACAATCATGTACGATAACATATTGGTGTGCCCAGATCAGCCTGTCAATGGGTGCTTAAACTGTTAATGTACAATCAGATTTTAAAACTTATTAGTTCTAAAATTTCCATTCATTATATTCTAAAAATTCTAAAAGACCTTTTGAGTTCTGTACTTCAGAAACACTAGAACACTATTAAGGCATTAATTAATGAACAGACCCCATGGAAAGTAACTAATGTATGCCTGTATTGGAGTGCTAGTCATATTTTAAGGCAGTCAAAAGGTTCATTTTTTTTTTTTTCACTTTAAGGCTCTTGCATATTTAAATTTTATTCTATGTAATCTATATAGACATTGTTCTATGTAATGTAAATATTCATCAAGTGGTCAATTTTGGAAAGCAGAGTCTTTTTATAAAGCAAATGGGCAGTTTAGAAATAGTTTGTAATACTCTCCCTAATCCTGATTTTTTTTTTTGTTTAGATGATTTCATATATCATAATTTGGCCATGTATGGATTCTCAAAGTTTACATTTGCAAATAAAGCCTAACAAGTAGCTTAAAGAGAAGTTTCAATAGAACGTTAGTATTAACATACCACCCATTATTTGCGGTAATGCGATATATAAAGGCTTTAACTTCACTCACTACCCTTACAATCCAAGTATTCATTAAGTGAAAACACGGAGAAATGAAGCTAATTTAGTATTTATTTTGTTCAAGCACAGATTCTGATGACTTCTAAAAGTGTAGAAATTTAAATATGCTTTCAAATTAAAAATTAAGTATCACTTGTTTATAAAATTAATATGATGCATGGCAATGCTAAATCAAATAGAAGCAAGGGAAAAAAATAATCAGAAAGTTAACTTTTGTATATTCTCATTGTATTTACAAACTCATTTGCATTGAAAATAATCACCTTAATTTCAGTAATAGATTTCTTAAATTGTGCTTTAAGTTTACAGTTCATTAGTTTCTCACACAAAAACGTATACACACATTGTTACGTGACCCTAGTTGCTCTCCCTATAATGTGACAGCACACTCTTCCTTTTCACCCCAGATTTCCCATGTCCATTCAGCCTGCTGCTGTCCCTTTTTGCCTTCTCATCTCACCTCTGGACAGGACTGCACATTTAGTCTCATGTATCTACTTGAGCTAGGAAGCACTCTTCACGAGTACCATTTTATATCTTATAGTCCAGTCTAATCTATGTCTCAAGAGTTGGCTTTGGGAATGGTTCTGGGCTGAGAGTCCGGGGGTCATGTCTTCCAGGGTCAGTAATAGAATTTTGCAACATAACTCCTCTAGTTTATGTTTCTTTACCTCTTTCCAATATAATTTGGCATTTTTGAAATTTAGAAAAATGTGTTATTTTATTCAAACAGTATGCTTAGCTATATTATTAGTTTTCTACATGAAAAATATTACTATAGAATTGCCTTTTTAATTTTCAAAAAAGTTGACCAGTTTAAAAAAAATGTTGAATGTGCATACAAGTTATTTATAAGACCCTTAATCCTACACACCATGTACATATAAGCTCAGTGAACTATTTAGTAGACCAAAGATGCTGACAATAGTCTTTAAAATTATGGAATGATGAGCATTGAGACATGCTATTTTTCTAAGAGTACTTACATAGTAGAGCAGTTCTCTTCTCAGATACAGGTAAGTACATGTGTAATTGCAAATGAAGACTGAATAACTGCAAACAAAGGTTGAATAACTGACCTTACTCAACAGGCCACAAAATTTATGGAAATATCTAATACGAAAGGTACATAATGTAACTTGATTTGGGGAGAGAATGTATTGATTCAACTGTTTTTCCTAAAGACCTGCTCATGTTAATTAAATAATAATATAACCTTAAATCTATATGGAACAAACAGTAATCTGCAAATGTCCTAACATCCCAAACCTAATTTTTATTACCCAGATGCAACAGGACTAGAAAAAGAGACAAAAATGTCAGAAGACAGGAAAAGAGAGGTATAAAAGCAATCTTCCAACAAACAAGAGATCAGGGAGCATGTGATAAATACTAAATAAAATGAATATAGTAAATAGAACTGATTTCATAGCTTAACCTATCTTTTTTCTTCTAATTCTTCCTTGTGCATGTTTACATTAAGGCTATATGACATTTTTCTAGACATATCAAATCACCACATACCTGTGGTATATGAGACTAGAATTTTTCATTTTACCTATTGTAAGGGAGTCACCAAGAAATTTGGATTTGTGCCAAATTAAGTTCAAAAAGAGATTACAATGACTTAGCTTTTAATTATCGTTTAGATGTAGCTTTACTGTGCTTTTAAAGCTATTTCTCACCTAATTGCCAGGCCCTAAAATTTATTCAGTTCTGATTTATCTTTCCAAACAAATTTTATGTGTTTTTTTAAAACAAAATCTCAGAACATGACGGGGGAGAAAAAGCCTAATACAATGGTGTTTGATCATTTGGAGATTTACCTGCTATTTTAAAAGATTAAGCAGATGTTTGGTAATAGCATCTCCTCATTTAGAATATGAGTTTGTTTCTCTAGGTCTCTTTAAGACTTGGCATATAGTTCTTTTTCTGTTTCTTGAGAATAGTAACTTGTTGGTCAGTACTCACTTTCATTGTGAAAAATGTTCTACTGTGCTCAGGAGTCGTTAAAATTAAGAAGGCCTACTGAGCTATTTTTTAAAACATTTATCTTTCAAAACGTATTAACAAGAATGTTTTCAGTAAAAAAAAAAAAAAAAAAGTTTTAACTTGTATTGCAAGCCCTCCCTCCAATTTCAACTTTAAAAAAAAAAAAAAAGTCATTATGATCCAAGCATCAGATGTTACTTTTTAAAAATAGTGAAATTAAATCAGAGAAGTTAAATTAGTTGTCTTCAGTCACGCAGTTAAGTTAGATAAAGAGAAGAGGTTCCAGAGAGGTAACACTAAATTTAATCCACTAGCATCTTGCCTCACTAATAACCCCATAAAAGTTACTATAACTAAATATACAACAGTGTTAATAAATGGAATTTCTAAGAAATTTCAACTAACAGGGCGGGTTAGGCTTATTAGTTTTTGTTTCACTAGTTAGACAAGTATATCCTGAAACTATTTACGTACTATCTAGGAAATAAGTTTATTTTTCTCAAGATTGTTTTTAAAAACATTTCCCCAAATATTAATGTGACAGAAATCCTAAAAGTAATTCAGAAAATAAAACTTGTTTACCACTTGAGTACGTCTTATTTATAATGAGGTAAAGTTCTTTATTTTTTTCTATAGGATTATGCTATGTATCAACACAAGTTATTAAACAAGCATTAATTGTACTTGAGGATTACTATGAATTATAAAAGTATACCTGGTCATATCTCCTTGTTTCTCTATTCCTAAATCAATCATGTATATACATTGTTTCCTAATATCTAAATAAGAGAAAAGTCTCTTCTGAGCTGAAGTCTTCCCATATTTTGGGGAAATGAATACTGGAATGGGATTCAAGAGACTGTGATTTCTAAGTCTAATGCTCCAAAGTCATGCTCTTTTGGACCTTAGATTTTTAATCAAAATTTAAAAGTTGTTAGCTGAAAAATTTATAAGGTTTTTTCCAGCTGTAAAATTCATGATTTGAAAATAAAGTTACTTTTTGTGTTGATTTCCTTTACTTTTTTTTTGTTTGTTTGGTCTTCTTTTCTTAAATCATAACCCTAATCCATTAATTAGACTTAGCTAAATACTTCAAAAAGGTCATGTCTAATCTTTCTCTGATGGATTTATTATTAGCTCCTAGATATATCTGTCTAAAAGTACTATAAAAACCTGTTGCTGTCAAGTTGATTCTGACTCATAGCAACCCTACAGGACAGAGTAGAACTGCTCCATAAGGTTTCTAAGAAGTGGCTGGTGGATCTGAACTGCCGATCTTTTGGTCCGCAGCTGAGCTCTTAACCACTGCGCCACCAGGGCTCCAAAAAGTACTACAGAAATAGTACATAACTAAAGGAAATAAATTTTTATACTACATTTAACATTTCTGTTAGGAATAAAAAGATCATATTATAATTTAAAATTTAAGAAAACCTTGAATTTAAAGAATTCAAGAGCTATTACACAATTTGATTAGATTTACACTTTAAATTTAATCAGAAAAACATTTTAATGTATCAAAAGTAGCTAACATGTTAAATTCAATGCTTGACAGAGGGTTAAAAACAATGTTTTCAAATCCACCACATAAATAACTATAAGATCTAAAGCAATGCATTTTTTTCCATTATTAGCTTTGCTGACCAAAAAAAAAAAGAAAATCCCAGGTAAGTCACACCATTTAAAAACTGCTACCAGTTCCCCTGAAGGAATGGCCATCTATCAGAGCAAGCATTAATACGTCAGCTGAAAATTCGAAAAGGAACATTTTCTTATCACTCCTGGAGCCCAAACTTCCCATGAAACAGAGGAAAATATCTATATAAACTAATACTACCGAAGTCCCCTTTCTCCCCAAATTATAAAACCTCTAACCTCCAAACACGTAAAAGGCTATAATTTACATTTATTAGTTTGACTTTTCACATAACGGTAAGAAAGGCTTTATAAATCCCACAGTAAATCCTCAATATTTAAAAGACAAAGAATACAAATCAAAGTTTTATGTGTAAGTTACCTTTGACAACCATGATAAAATTATGAGCAAAGATTTTGTCATTTCAACAGGTTGCTTTAATATTAAATCTCCCTACGAAGAGGAGATACTTGCTCAAGTAAATACTGTACTTTAGTGTAATGTAAAGGAAGCTTAGTATATACAAACCGAATAGAAAAAAGAAATAATTTCTTACAAGACTGCTTGGTGGTAATACAGTACTAAAAATTGCCTTTCAAACCTGAAGGACCTAGCTGCTTTATTATTTTTTTCCACTATCAAAAAAGAATGTCTGCTAACGTAATCAATGTTACACAATTGTACATGTAAAAAATGTGAACCTGGCAAATGTTGGGTTATATATATTTGTACCACAACAACAATAATAAATCTAGTGTCATGTTTCAAACTTTAAAAAAAAAGTTTGCCACAAAATGATTACTGGACAAAAAGGAGGCAAATGACATTTTTAAAATTAGGAAGTATCTAAAACCAATTTGTAATTGGCTAAAAAAAAAAAAAAAAGTTAATATTTTTAGAAGTAAAAAGCTAATCTGGTTATAGTTGAAAATTGTTATACTTTAACATTATGGATGGGGGAGTTAAATGGTTGAAACATGAAAAACAGAAAGCATGAGTACATGTTATCTATGTTGTAATTCAGAGGAACTGTTAAGTCACACCCCTTACTCGTGGCAATAATATAGGCTTCCTTGGCACACACTTTAGTCTCTTCTCATTAGAAATAAAATAGTTTTTTCATTGAATAAGTTGTTATTTACGTGATCTTAGAAGACTCTGAAAAGAATTGGTAAAAACTCAAAATTTAATCAAATGTCAGCATTTTCCCCCTTCAGTATAAAAGTTTACAGATGATTTTCATATTCCATCACAGTAACATGGTCTAGTGCATTTCAGAGTATTTAGAAGTTATCAAAGTTGTCCTTTCCCAATGAAAACATTTAAGAAAACTTCTCAGACAAGCTGTTAGAATGTCATGATATGGAACTACCTGCACTTTTTTTGGCTGTTACTTCTTTTAAGTACAAATGTTCTTACTCCCCAAAGAAATAACTATTCTACTGTTGAGCTGTTTTACAGTGTCTATCAACAAGAAGTCCTCTCTCTCAGAGGAAGCTAACGTGTGTTCTGATGCTACTTCCCAAGAGTTAGTTTAGTAGACAGAACTTTGGGCTCATCTTTTTTCTTCTTCATCCTTTTTTTTGTAAAGTAACTTTCCATCACGCACATACTATATCATCTTTCACTGGATTAAGATTAGCTGGGAAGTAGCTGTGTATTTTTTAGCAAGATCCACTGATGGCAGTGGACCTCTTAGATCATGCTGGTGCTTAAATCACATCTAATGTGAAATTTCGAATTACATCCAGAGCTCCAGTATCAAATCCACACATATCCAACATGCCTCGATCATCTGGGTCTGCAATGGTAAAACCATTTGATGTCATTCCACAAACAATCAATTTGGCTGGAATCCCCATTTTCTGTACGAAAAGATCAAAAGGATATTTAAAAATAAAATTTAAGAAAGCAAATACCCTCCAAAATTAAAATACTCTAAAATCTCTATACTACAGCTTTTCATTACAAAGTTATTTTTTTTCCCTCTCCATAAAATTTGCCATATTTCAGGGTAGAGTCCTCCATAAGTAGCCTGGGTACTTTGTGCTTACAAAATCTGTCAGGGTATTAGGGGAGTCAGACAATTTTATCAACATCTCAAACACTGGGACAGTGTGTGTGGCTGTATATAAAGAATTCTCTGGAATTATCAACTTGGCCTATGACTTTGATATGTACAATCTTCACATGTCCCGTGGAAGAATTTGTATCATCCTCTATAGCTACAATTTAAGGTTAAAGTAAGTGAGTTTTACAAAAAACTAATAATTAGTGAGTGTGCACTATGTCCAACACTGTAATAAGCTCTGTAAGTAATTTATCTAGTATCACTGTTGTAACAACCCCCAAAGTAGGCACTATTAACTATGACTTACAGCAGTTAAGTAATCTGCTGAAGTTCACAGTCAGTAGAAGAGACAGACTCAGGACTCAGAACCCAGGCTGTCCTGACTCCAAAATTTATTCACCTGTGGTTATTAAACTCAAACGTGCATCAGCATCTCCTGCAGGGCTTGTTAAAATATAGATTGCTGGGTCCTGTTCCCATAGTTTCTGATTCAGCAGACCTTTTATGGTTCCCCGGAATTTGTGTTTATAACAAGGTCCTAGGTGATGCTGAGGCTGCTGGAGGAGAACCCACTGAGAGCCACTGCTCTTCATCAAGTTCTTTTTCTGCTTCCAGTAGCATTAGCCACATTTCAAGTGTCCTACAGCCCCCTGTGGCTAGTGGCTATTAGATTACACAGTGCAGATATAGAACATTTCTATCATTTCTGGAAGTCCTATTGGGGAGCACTGATTAGAACACAGAAATATCCATGAAACTTAAAACACAGATTATAGCTTTGCTTTAATCTTATGAAGTCCTGTAGCAAAATTCACACGATACTTCTAATTTTTCAAGGAGCACACTGAATCATTCAAAAAATTATAGCTAAGGTAAAATATATATTTCTGCTGATTACTACTAAAAATATTGCTTGCAAAGGATATTATTAGCAATATATAGCATTGGAATTGGCTGAAAAAACATTACATATGTGTGGCCAGTATATTTCCTTATTTCAAGTACTGCTGAATCCATAACTGGCATTGAACACCTATACAAAGGTATAGAACTACCTTTAGTAACATTTTTTGAAAAAGATAATGACTATTTGAGAAATGATTATTATCTGGGGTGAGAAAAAATATTAGGACTCATTTTACCTTCCGATACTCCCTTAGAGCAACAGCAGGATGGACACTTCCAGCAAAGGTCTCATTATCAGTGAATACTATGAAGACATCAGCAGCTGTGTTTGTTTTCTGAGCCCAAATCATTGGAAGAGAGCAATCAGTTCCCCCTGCTGGTATCTAACTCAGAACAAAAACAAATAAAAATAAGTGCCCTAGTTTCCACACAAACAGTACTACTTTTTACATTATCTTTTTGTTTAGAGCCAATATATAGGCCTTCCCAAAGCCTGTATGTATTTTTCTGATTTTGTGCTTCTCATGAGAAAATGACGGTAAAACAATCTGTTCTCATAAGTCATATTAATATAAAACTATTACATAATGTTAAGTAAACTTAATAAATTACTTTCTTACCTGATTCATAGCCATTAAAACCTCTTGTAAGGTCATATCTGCAGTAACTGGACATGGTACCATTTCATCTGAAAAAGCAACTACATAAGAATCTTTTTCTGTCCGTGTGACAACCTGAAAAATTCAACAGTAGTAATTTTCAGCAGATTTTGAGGAACTGAATACAGTACAGTGAAACGTGTGAGAGCTGGAACTCGATGGGACTGCTTTGTTTTTCTGGGTCTTGCAAGTTTTCCGCCTTTGACAAGGTAGAGTCTTACCACTTTCCTATCACTTGTTTTAGTGGAAGATATTTTAGTTTTCTTTCTCTGAAAAGTTTCTGGCTTTCGCAGGTTTTACTGTATTTAGAAGTTTCTAAAACTTCAACTTTAAGAGAAACACTCTATAATGTTAATGTTACTACAAAACCTGTACTGTTTTGGAACTATATAGTAACAGTAGTATAGTTTTCAAAGTACTTTCACAAAGAAACTAGTTCTCACAACAATCCTTTGAAGCATATTGAGCATATATTCTCATGATATTAAATAAGGAATAAAGTCACAGAAGAAAAGCTAAGAAGCACACCTGTGATTTATCGGCTATCCAGTGACAGGCTAGAACTGAAGTCTTCTGACTATATTCATTAAATAATTTTTCTAAGCATTATCTGCTTTCTCAAAAATACTATTAATATTTAATCTTTTGTTGTAAAAATTAAAACATTTCTTCTTATAATTCTTTGGACATGGCCTTTTTCAATACTTAAAATTTTGCTTTATAAAATTGTCTTCAGTTATAAAAGGGTAGAAAAATGTGCCAGCAAAGTTGGAGAAACACAAATAAGTGAAAACATAATTCCTGATCGTATCTAACTTTATAGTTTTGCCCCATTCTAAACACTTTTAGAGTAGAAAAACATTGTGGATCGTTTTAGTTTTCTCACCATGCACATTGCTGCAGCAACTGTGCTGGCGTTGAGTATACTACCCAAAACTCTTTGGTTCATAGAAGCACTGACGTCAACAGCCAGCAAGAAACGCTTTCCGGTTGGCTTAACTGTCTAAAGAGAGAACAAAATACAACAATCATTAAATGAAATCGTAGAAATTATAAGTAGATTACATTTATAACAAATCATACTTGCTCACTACCTTTCGTTCAAAGGCTATGATAACAAGCTTTCTGGTATTTTGACTGACAATTATTTCAACATGCTTAGCTTTTACTAACACTAATACAAAGCAAGTAAGATAACCTGTGTACTAATTTTATTTAAAGGAACCACACACATATATATATTTTAAGTCTTTGTCACTGAAGTAGTGTAAGAATTTCTAACATGAAATTTTTAAAACCAAAATGTTAACGTTTGGCTCTGATACAGGATTTCCATTCCTAAAAAATCACTTCCTATCAAGGCAGAGAAACAGAAGACAGAAGACCACATCAAAGGTCCCCACAGGAATGCAAATTTTTAAATTTGGCAACTTAAAACTACCAAAATGATCTTCGGATAACTGGTTGCTACTCAAAGGCAGGGAGAACACTTGACTCATATCAACTTACAAGATTTATCATATACCTTTACTTATATAAACTAAGGAAAAACAAACTAATACCTAATCCCAAATGGTTTTAATTATTAATACGGCCATTAAATGTTTTTATAAGATATTACATCAAATCATTACCTTAAATGTTTTGTAAAAAGCGTCATCCAAAGCTTTCAAAATTTCATTATCAGGTTGCCACTTCAGTTTTCCTCTGAGCCCATGCCCTGTTTTGTAAGTTTCTAGTGCAAGTAAAACATGAAATGGATGTATACGAGCCTAGAAACAAGACAAAGACGGAAAGTAAACGCAAAATTAAAGTTAGAAATAACAATAATTATGTAATCTTCCTTGCATTTTCATGTTATTGTATCTAGTAAATATCTTTAAAAAAAAAAAATGAACACACAGTAACCTTACATTTAAAAGTCAAAATGCAACTTGGTTTATGAGAAAAATCTCAGAACACCTAACTGCATTTCCAAAATTTAGAAGCCAACTTTTTGAATCAGAAGCACTAAGAAACGGCACTGAGAATGCTTACCTTTTTTAACAGTTTTTCATTACACAGTTTTTCACATACTGAAGACACTTCTGAATTTCCTGGTTCAAGCACTGAATTAGCAGTCATCTTTCCTAGATTCCTTAGTAATGCAGTAAGAGGCATTTCTTGCAATAAAGCCTTCCATACCTATTGCAGTAACATAGACAGAAGATTAAGGAATTAAGGGGAAATGAACTGGGTGTTAACATAATATTCATAATATACTTTCTAAGCATTAAATCTGGGGTTCAGAGTAGTTTTAGAAAAGCTGTGCCAATTGGTCAAAGGTTTATCACATAAGCTAACTTGTTCTTTACTAGCATAAGGAAGTGAAGCATATTGAAAGGAACTGCACAGGACAATTTTGTTTTAATTGGCAAGGCATATCAACCACGATATTTTCTGGAGTGGAACTACACTTACTGAATGCCAACTACACTCCAGGCATTTGTGAAAGGTGTTTTAAATAAACATTAATATCAAGATATAGTTAATTTCTTTCTTAAAAAAAGAAGTAATGAATATATAGTTGCATGTTTATCCTTTTTAAACATATAATACAATTATTCATGTTTAACCATATAAACCAAAAAACAAACTTGTTGCTGTTGAGTCGATTCCGACCCATGGCGACTCCATGTGTTACACAGTAGAACTGCTCCATAGGGTTTTCTTGGTTGTAATCTTGACAGAAGTAGATCATCTGGTCTTTCTTCCGTGGCCCCACTAGGTGGGTTCAAACCACCAAACTTTAGGTTAGTAGTTCAGTTCTAACCATTTGCACCATTCAGGGACCTGTTTAATCACATACTATATTTACTCACCTCTTTAGACTTTAAGTGATTTGTTAGAAGATGTTCTCTAACTAATCTATGCTCTTCTATTAGATGAATGACTTCCAGTTCATCTTTTGTTCGCTTAACTTTCTCTACAGCTTCCAAATATTTTAATAATTTTTCAGTTTCCACAGAAAGTGCTTTTTCCTTATACAATTCATGGACCTCTTTCCAGCCCTTTGTAATATATTTGGTCACAATGGCAAGTCCTTAACAAAACAAAGAATTAAAAAGACATGTAGGATTACAGGTTAAAAAAATAGAACATGTTAACTGAGAATATATGATATAACAGTCATAATGAGTTTTTAGGGGAGAAAAACCTGTATCTTAAGTCATTTTATTACAGAGTTTTTTTTTGGAGACACCAGAATTAGAAATTTTGGTAGGCAGTGCCTACCTCAGGTCCAAAATCCTAGAACAATTTACAAGTGTATGGATCTATCTCAGTTAATCTTCTGTTCACTTGCCCCTTTCAGGTGCTGAATAAATATGCATTTTTGAATAGTAGAGATAAGTGGAGATAAATAGGTACGTAGGTAATTTTTATTTGTTTTTATAGCTAAGAAAGCATTACAAGCCAAATTAAAAAAAAAAAAAAAGATGAAAATAATTAAATATTTTTTCATTCCTTCTACATTTAATAGTAGAAAGAGCTTTGGATTTGGGGTGAGTAAATCTGGGTTCTAGTCTTTGCCAACAAATAAGCTGCATGATCTTTCCTTAATTTCCACTATAAAAGGTGGGGACTGAATTTTCAAATTCAGATCTCTATTGTGGGGGAGGGCAGGTAAAATAAATAAGTGAAACAGGCACAGTGACATAATATACTGATATAATACAAAGTGGTTATCACTGTATGTGGTGAATTGAAGAGAGCATGCTGTGACAAGCATTTTAGCCAAGTGCTAAGAAAATGTATGTTCAAGAGAAGTCAGAATATCGATTTTCATGTGAAGTCTTTTTATTTTTAAAATGCTGGCAAAGAATTAATTTTTCCCCCTAAAATATCATGCAACCAAAAAAAAAAAAAAAAAATCTCTAAGCCAGATTCAACTCATGTGCTATTTCTGAACTCTAATCTGAAATCATTTTATCAAAAGTCAGTATTAATATGCAGGAACTTCTAAACTATTCTGATTCTTGCTATCTTCCAGATTTTGCTACAAAATCTCATATTGTCTTAACTGATTGTTTCATGTAAGTGTAACTTCTGTTTTGTTTTTCCAACTAAAATGAAAAAATTTCTTAATGGCAGTCTTATAATTATTTTTTTCTACCCAAGTTATGGATTGAATTGTGTCCCCCCAAAATATGTGTCAATCTGGCTAGGCCATGATCCCCAGTACTGTATGGTTGTCCTCCATTTTATAACCTGATGTAATTATTCTCCATTTTGTGATATGTTGTAAATCTTAACCTCTATATGTTGATGAGGCAGGATTAGGTTATGTTAATGACAATTACGTTATGTCTGTTATGTTGATGAGGTAGGATTAGGGTGCATCTTCAGTCTATCTCTTTCGAGATATGAAAGAGATTAAACAAGCAAGCGAGAGAGCAGAGCTGGGGGAAGAGGGATGCTAAAAGAAGAAGAGCAGAAGCTAAAAGAGACAAGGACCTTCCTCCAGAGCCAACATACAGAGAAAGCCTTCCCCTAGAACTGGCACCCTGATTTTGGATTCCTAGACTCCTAAACTGTGAGAAAATAAACTTCTGTTTGTTAAAGTCACCCACTTGTGGTATTTCTGTTATAGGAGCACTAGATAACTAAGACAACCCAGTTCTAGAATTGTGCTGGCTACACAGTAGCTGCACAATAAATACTCGATTAATTGACTTATTTTATCTATTATAAATGCACATTTCAGTTAAGGTATTAAAATATTACTTATTTGTAGCTTACTTGGAGTTTGTTTCAAAATTCTTTTCAGTCTGAGAAGCTTAGGCATCCCTTATACCTAAACATGAGATTGCTGGTATTATAAGGTTTCAATTTAGAATAAAGAATCTTATATGTGAGAGTAAATTTAGGGAACATTTAATGCCTCATTTTATAGACCAAGAAACCAAAGTCCAGAAAAATTATCTGCACAAGTTCAGAAACTAATTTATACAATCAAAAGTAGCATGTAGGCGGTCTTCCTCTTAGTCCAGTACTCACTCCACGCTACCATGTAGCGTCTTAATGAATAAATAAATAAAGCTGGATCCCTACATCCTTCGTATACAGAATCACAGATTTAAATGTAACAAAACCATGACTATGTTAGAAAGAAAACCATAGATAAATACTTTTATGATATTAGTTGGAAAAGGCCTTTCCAAACCTAAAACGAAATCTCAAAATCTATGAAAGAAAAACAGTTAAGTTTGATTACATCAAAATTCCAAACTTTAGTATATTAGAAACACCCCCTCCCCCCAATATTGAAAGACAAAGAACTAGGGAAAAATGCAATGTAATGTATATAATAATTATTAACTGCTATAATATGTATCCAACAGTACCCATCCATAGTAAGTGCTCAATAAATCTTTGTTGAATGAATGAGCAGTAATTATAATCAATGTTAAAAACAATAGCAACCCAATGGATAAAAGGGCAAGGATACAATACAATCCACAGAAAAAAATACAAATACTTAGTACACGAAAAAAAGAGTACTCCCAAATTGCAAATTCGAATGACTTTTTCACCTAACCACTGACTAAGATTAAAAACATTAATGATACTCAGTCTTCAAATGTGGGGAAACTGGCCACTCTCATATACTGTTTGTGGAAATGTAAATTAGTTCTGCAGTCTTTGGAACTATCTTTCAAAACATAAAATCTATATGCCAATTGCTTTGTTCCAGTATTTCTATTTAACGACTTAACCATTATAGAAATAGTCACACAAATTACTTCACTGCAGTATTTTGTAATAGTAAAAAAAACCTGGAAACTACTTGCCTACTAGTTAGACACTAGTTAAATAAATTATACAATGGTGTGTCTATATGTACACAGAACTATTTCTATTGGCCTAGAAAACTATTAATAATATACTTTCAATTGAAACAAGGAGAATAAGTAACATTGTTTTATAAAAAAAGCTAGTTTATAGTACTATATGTTTAGGAAAAATCTGGAGTAAGATATAACGTATTGTATGTAGTCATTTTTTTGAAGGGGCAGACTTATACTTTCTGCATTATATATTTCTGTATTATTCAACTATTTTTAAAAAGCATGTAAATACAATAAAAAATCAAAATACAAATGTGCGTTCAAATATAAATATTTCCAATAATTTACTGCTTAAATTTCATTTGAAAAAGTCCATTTACAGTCAAAAAGTGATAAATTAGAAATTAATGAGGAGATTCTGTGCACAAAGACATCATTATACAGTAAAACCTATGAAAGCCAGAACCTGTGTAAGGTGGAAATCTGCTAGAGAATGAAAACGGAAATATTTTCCACTAATGAAGAACGACAGAAAAGTGGTAAGCTGCACCCTGATGAAGGTGGAATACATGTGAGACCTGAAGAAACAAGGCAGTACTGTTGAGTTCTGGCCCTCACATGTTTTACTGCATAGGCAGTCCCTGGATTACAAACCAGTTCCGTTCCTAAGTCTGACTTTAAGTCGAATCTGTACATAAATCAGCACAGTAGTCAAATGTCTGTCTTAGTATATAGTGTACCTTTCTATGCGTAAAAACATCAAAGAAACACTTCCAGATACACTAAAACATCTTTAACATAATATTACAGTAATAATAATAATGTTTTGATGCACACTGCCAAGTTTGTTGCTACGCGAACCACTGTACGTACCTTGAATTTTTAACATAATAGGCTTTATTGGGGGGGGGCATTGGTTCGTGAGTCAGATGTAAGTCAGGCATTTGGTTCGGATATTTGTAACCCGGGGACTGCCTGTACAATACATGTGGAAGGGAAAGCGAGGAACAAATACTGAACTTCTATTACTTGCTCAAGAGTGTTTCTTATTTCCCTTCTAAGAAAGACTAAGTAATTATTGTAGCTTTGTAGCTCTAATTAACTGCTCAAAAGTCTTTTCCCATACAGAACAAAAACCAGTTGCCACTGAGTGGATTTCAACTCATAGCAACCCCACAGACACAGAAAAACAATGTTCTCTGGCTGATTGCCTGGAGGCAATTAACATCCTGAATTGCTAGTTAAATTCAACACTATTTCAGGTAGCCTTTGGGTTCTATGGAACATATATCCTAGGAAGACACGTATCAAATGTACCAAACCTAACCCGTGGCAGTTGAGTCGATTCCAACTCATAGTGACCCTAGAGGACAGAGTAGAACTGCCCCATAGCTTCCAAGGAGTGACTGGTGGATTCAAACTGCCGACATTTTGGTTAGCAGCCAAGTTCTTAACCACTACGCCACCAGGGCTCCCCTAGGAAGACAGGGAGGGAAAAAAATGATAAGGGGCTAGAGGAGTGTAGCCTGGCTATCTGCCATCTAGTGGCAAGGAGCTGCTTTGTTTCTACAACATTAAACTTGTCCATGCTGCTTTCATAGTCTGTAGTCCCTTATATGAACATTCTAGTTAGCATGGTTAACATTTTAAGATTTAGAATATTAACCTGTAAATTGTCATTTAATTCTTGACTATTAATGTCTGGATTGCTTGTGGTAGGTTTTTAGTTCTAGGTTAGGATTAAAAATACTTGAATTAATGCTATCTCTGGAGAATTAAAGGTTATTTCTGGAAAATATTATACCATTGCCTTATGTCAAATAAAAATTTGCTATTTATTGGAACAACCCTCCCCGCCCCCCACCATGAGGATCTTATGCTTACCTTCACTGGAAGGTTTAAGATGTGACAATCTCAGTAGATCTTTGTGAGACCAGCCATTTCTTTGTTTATATTTTGTAACTGCCAGGGCAAGAGCCATGCCACCTTTTTCATTGTACCAGTCCGCTACAGCCTTCCGGAGGGCACGACCCCACATACCACATTTCATGCTTTCCTTCAGATCTTTCTTAAACTGGATAAAAGTAAAGAGATGGGTAGGAATACGACAAACTTCAGAAACAGCTTTAAATGCTGCTTGTTTTGTGCTTATGTCCGAACACTGGGAACAAATGGCAAGTGCAAAGAGCATGGGCTCCTGCTTTGCGGTTCTGCCTTCTTGACTAAACAACTTTATTTCCTGTATCACTTCACATCCTCTGCCATCTTCAATTAACCTAATTAAAGCTTCAGCATTTTCAAGGCCCAACTTCTGTTCTTTGATATAGTAAGTCCCACCTTCAGAACCAAAACATAAGAACCGGTGTAGTCGATTCATGTCAGTAACTTGCCATACATATCCATCTTCAGAATTGGCTATCTGCTTCTCATTCAGTGGTTGCATTTGGTTTATTGACTCCTCCATTTTTTCTGTCTTTTAGAAAAACTATCAAAAAAAGCAAAACATTATTACAGCTAGATAAAAACAGGAAAATTATAAAAAGGAAGGCAATATTTATTAATCTATGCTTACTGAAATCTGTCACAGAATTTTTAATTTAAAAATCTCTTTTGAACTCAGTAAATGTCTCTTAATTTAAAATCAATATAAATGTTATGAAAAATCAGAAAAGGCAGAAAATGAAAGAAAAAAACATCTGACTATCCAGAGATAACCACTTAAATAGTTTATAAAGTGTTTTTGTTTTGTATTTCGATTTTTACAACTTAAGGAAACTCTGAATCCTCCAAAGCAAACAAACTAGACTACAGCCATGGTGGTATGAGCATTACAAGCAACAACTAAGTAGCCACATGACTGAGATACCATGTGTTGCTTCTGAGATTAAGCAGGTAGGTTAGTATGGGGTCTTGAGGTGTAGACAGAAGAATAAGTGGGGGGTGGGCAGCAACAGTAGCCACCACTAAGATCTTACTCCCTGAAGAACCAGTCATGTCCTTCAGGGGACGTTAGGTCTTTCTCTAGCCCCAAGGAAGGAATTTTGATTGCTATAGCCAGTGGTTCTCAAACTTTGTGTGCATCAGAATTTCCTGAAGTGCTTGCTAAAACACAATTGGTGGGTCCCAGCCCTGAGAGTTTCCTTCTTGTTCAGTAGGTCTGAGGTGAGGCCCAAGAATTTGTGCTTATCACAAGTTCCCAGGTGCAATGCAATGGACTTCTCTTTATACATAGCCTTTCTGGCCCTGGGTTTATAATTATGCCAAAAATGGCTGGTTGGGCCACAGTCTGACCTGTACTTGGTCTATTTCATGAACCTTGCAGGAATTGGTCAATTTAGTATGCAAATAAAACCACCCAATAGGATCAAGTAACTCGTAGGATTGGTCAGTTTTGCCATCCTGCTAGGGTTATTTAAGGGCCAATCTCACAGAGGTTAAAGAGGGGCCTCACTACCATCAAGAAGAGTCTGGAGAGGAACATGTCCTTTGGACCCAGGGTCCTTGTGCTGAGAACCTCCTAGTCCCTGAAGAGAGAGCCGTCACACTGAAAATGGTGCAAGATGGTAAGAAATGGTGGCAAGCACAGCATTGCCAGTTACAGAGAAATGGCGGCAGCAGTATAAGCAGTGGGAACCACGGGACCAGAAGACTGCTGGCTACAAGCCCACTGAGAGCGAGCTGAGTGCCTTCGGGCAGAAGGCTTGCTGGTGGAGCGGGGTACCTTTAGGTACTTGTTGGCAGAGCTAAAAGAGCTGTTAACACTTGCCCGAGCAGGGCAGATACCTAGAAGCCCAGCAGCAGAGGCCTGGATGGGATATCAGCTAGTTCCTCTGAGAGAAGTGCCATTGTCTGTCATGGCTGAGAAGGAGCTGAGAGCTGGCCTGGTTGGAAGCTGTCCTGACTGACGAAGTTGATCTTGTCTCCTGAGTTATATCCTGTTCCCGAGTTGTAGCCTGTTACTTCTCTAATAAACCCCATGGTCTGTTGAGTTCTGTGTGGCCACTGCAAGAAATTATCGAATCCAGCAGAGAAGTAGAGTGTGCCATGGTGGGGGGGGGGATGGCTGGTGTCAGAAATGGTGAAAAAGTTGGAGAGTGGAGGTATAGCTGACCGCCACTTCACAGGAAACAGCTTTGTGCTGATCCTGATTCTTCTCCCTTGTGCATGTAGATGAGTTCTGACGATGTCAGATTACATCAGGTGATGCTGGACCTGGGCTCAATAATGGCGCCATAATTTCTCTTCCCACATGACTGGTATAGGCACTGGGCATATGTCACAACTCTGGTCAATACGACACAATAAGAAGTCAGCTGGGAATACTTCTGAGGTTTTCTTCACTCTTAAAACGGGGTTAGGCTTTTCTTTTCTGCCTCGAGACATTTTCATGCAAGTCATGCCTACAGTGGTGGCAGCCATACTAAGACCATGAGGGGAGCCAGTTTACCAGGACTAGTCAATAAATATGTAAGGATGCAGGGCAGGAAAAAAATGGAAGGAACCTGGGTCCTTGATATCATCGAGCTGCTTGGAACAGCCCTACTTACAAATTTCCTATTATTCGTATGTCATATGTATCCTTACTGTTTAAGATATCTTTTGGTTTTCTGTTTGTTTTAGTGGAGAACATCTTAACTGATTAACAACCTATCAATTATGCTCATTTATAGTTTATGTCATCTGTAACTACCCTCACTTTTTCTTCCTCTACCATCTCTAAAACTACTAGAACTAGCTTTCTGGCAATGACATGTCTCTTTATCTTTCGAATGAAGTAACCACAGTTGTCCACTACTTTATCAGTCCACCACTATCCTTACTATAGTAAAGCTGCTTCTCCAGGTCCCACAAGTCTCCTGACTATGCTACAGTAAACCCTGTGAAAGCCAGAACCTGTGTAATGCAGAAACCAGTCAGAGAAAGAAAACTCAAATATTTTCCACTAATAGTGACAGAAAAGTGGTAAGACTGTACCCTGTCAAAGGTGGAAAACTTATGAGACCTGGAAAAACAAGGCAGTCTCTTTGAGTTCCGGCTCTCACAGGTGAGCGTGAGCAATGGTACACATGGCAAAAAACAAAACAAACTCAACCAGCATTTATTGAATACATACGACGTATAAGACACAAAGATTATTTCTGTTTCATTAGAATGACCAAAAGAAAAAAAAAAATTCTTGCCCTTGGGGAAATCTGTTTGGGGAGGTAGAGGTATATACACAACACAAAGCAAACTGTAATTAAGTGCTCTAATAGAAAAGTCCTATCAGTGAGCAAAGGAGGATAAAATTAATGCTAAATCAATAATCCAGGAAGACCTGTATGGGGAAGACAAACTGAAAAACTGATAAAGTTTGGGGAAAGGCATTTCAGGGGAAGGTTTCCGAAATCTTGCCCTGTGTCTTTAAATTCTAGAGAAGGAACTGTCTAAATGTACTGGTATATCTCTAAAGAAAGGCTGACACAGAAGGTAGTAGCTTAAAGAGGAACACAAGGCTAAAGAAGTTTTATTTTGAAGATTATACTTAATGGAGCATGTTTATATACTGTGGGGAAAGGGCCAGTAGGGATGGAGGAGTTAATATTACAGTTGAGACACAAGATAACTGCAACTGATAGAGGTTTCTTAGAAGGGCGTATGGCCTCAGAGCATAGGACTGGCCTTAGACAGAAGAGGGACACCACCATTAAAAATCATCAATTTAAGAAGCAGGAAGAGGAAGACAGGATAACTAAAGAATAAGAAGGAATAAACATGTTGAAGAACCACCAGAGATGGTTTCTGTGAAAGCTGAGAGGCTGCGCTCAGTAACTATAAATCAGTCTTCAATGACTAATAGGATGATCACATCTCTTGATACCACCTGAAGCCTGTTGTTGTTAGGTGACGTTGAGTCGATTCCGACTCACAGCAACCCTACGTACCACAGAAGAAACACTGCCCGGTCCTGCGCCATCCTCACAATTGTTATTATACTTGAGCCCATTGTTGCAGCCACTGTGTCAATCCATCTTGCTGAGGGTCTTCCTCTTTTTCACTGACCCTCTACTTTACCAAGCACGATGTCCTTCCCCAGGGACTGAAACCTCCTCATAACATGTCCAAAGTATTTGAGACATTGTCTCGCCATCCTTGCTTCTAAGTAGCATTCTGGTTGTACTTCTTCCAAGACAGATTTGTTCGTTCTTTTGGCAGCCCATGGTGTATTCAATATTCTTCGCCAACACCACAATTCAAAGGTGTCAATCCTTCTTTGGTTTTCCTTATTCATCGTCCAGCTTTCACATGCATGTGAGGCAGTTGAAAACACCATGGCTGGGGTCAGGCGCACCTTAAGTCTTCAAGGTGTCATCTTTGCTTTTTAACACTTTAAGGAGGTCTTTTGCAGCAGAGTTGCCCAATTCAATGCATCTTTTGATTTCTTGACTGCTGCTTCCATGGGTGTTGACTGTGGATCCAAGTAAAATGAAGTCCTTGACAACTTCAATCTTTTCTGTTTATCATAATGTTGCTTACTGGTCCAGTTGAGAGGATTTCTGTTTTCTTTATGTTGAGGTGTAATCCATACTGATCTTCATTAGTAAGTGCTTCAAGTCCTCTTTACTTTCAGCAAGCAAGGATGTGTCATCTGTATATTTCAGGTTGTTAATGAGTCTTCCTCCAGTCTTGATGACCTGTTCTTCATATAGTCCAGCTTCTCAGATTATTTGCTCAGCATACAGATTAAATAGGTATAGTGAAAGCATACAACCCTGACTCACACCTTTCCTACTTTAAACCACACAGTATCCCCTTATTCTGTTCGAACGACTGCCTCTTGCTCTATGTAAAGGTTCCTCATGAGCATAATTAAGTGTACTGGAATTCCCATTCTTCTCAATGTTATCCATAATTTGTTATGATCCACACAGTCGAATGCCTTTGCACAGTCAATTAATCAGAGGTAAACATCTTTCTGGTATTGTGTGCTTTCAGCCAGGATCCATCTGACATCAGCTACGATATCCCTGGTTCCGCGTCCTCTTCTGAATCTGGCTTGAATTTCTGACGGTTCCCTGTTGATATACTGCTGCAGCTGCTTTTGAATGATCTTCAGCAAAATTTTACTTTTGTGTGTGATATTAATAGTATTGTTTGGTAATTTCTGCATTCGGTTGGATCACCTTTCTTGGGAACAGGCATAAATATGGATCTCTTCCAGTCAGTTGGCCAGGTAGCTGTATTCCGAATTTCTTGGCATACACAGTACTTCCAGAGCCACATCCATTTGTTGTAACATCTCACTTGGTATTTTGTCAATTCCCGAAGCCTTGTTTTTCACCAATGCCTTCACTGCAGCTTGGACTTCTTCCTGCAATACCATTGGTTCCTGATCATATGCTACCTCCTAAAATGGTTTAACACCGACCAGCTCTTTTTGGTAGAGTGACTCTGTGTATTTCTTCGAGTTGTGCAATGACATCAATGACATCATACATGAAGAAA